CGCACTGAACTAAATACACATGCTGTGATTTTAATTTTGTTAAATATAATAAATATTGCATTTATTATATTTTCATTATTTTATTTTCATAAAGCTTTCATACAGCTTTTCTCCTGGCCACATCTTACTCTTTGAACATCTTCGCTATTTGCTGTTGATTGCAGTGACATCTATTGGAGAGGCAGCGTTTGGCTACACGAGCTGCCTCACCTGAATTCAAATTTTAAAATTTCTTCCTCTGTTTTAGCACAGCTTCACATAAAGCGACAAACTCTAAGTCAGATTCTCAGGAGTTATGCTGATTTACCAATGTTTTTCATTTTGTTTAGTTAGTTCCTTTTTAATAATTCTGACATTTTTCCAAAGTGACAGTGATAGTTTTGTCATCTTAGTTCACAGCAGTACTGACAACTTCCTGAGGTCATGTCTTCACACCTAAAGAACATCAAATACACTTGACCTTATTTTGCAGGTTCTCAACTGAGTTCTCTTCTGTTTTTTTTTAGGTTTTGTTTTTAACAAAAAAATCAACCCCATCTCATGTGCGTATGGCCAAGCACTTTCCAAACCAATTCTGCCTAAACAGCAGGCTGTGCGGGTCTGTCTGAACCAAGCTACACCTACACCTACCATCTACCCTCTACCCCCCTCCCCCCCAAACACACACACACACACCTTTCACCCTAAGTAAGGTGAAACACTAGAGAGATCTGAAAATCTCTTGTCCCGGTAGGAAAAACCACCATTCCTCAAAAAGCATTTTAGGAAGCTAAATCACTATGCTTTCTTGCAGCTCCATTGATCTCTACATTGGTCTAGAGACAAAATAAAAGGGAATGGGCATTATTATCCCCTTATTAGATACGGCTAAATATCCTTGCAGACAGGAAGTCTGAGCAGAGCAGCATCTACTCCACTATCTTAGCCACCTTTCACTACTTTTTATTATCTATTTTTACTGTTTTAAACTTACTTAAAACCAAGTAGATCAATCTCAGGCTCCTAGCTAGACAGGAGATTTTAGTAAAAAACCTAACATCCATTGAAATTATGAGTTCCAAGCTTTTTCAATAGTAATAGTTGTCATTCCCATCTAACTTATTATTGTCCTCAACTCAATTAAAAAAGTACATCTAAATTGTACAGTTACTAATGCCCCCCAGAAAACCTTATAAAACATTTCATTACAAACTATTCTGCCCATCCATTTCCTCTGCTTCCTTTTACTACTAACCCCTCATTAGAGCAATAAGCCCCAACGGGGTGTACATTAGCCTAGCAGATTCTTCGTACACACCTACAGCCATTCGCCACTCAAGAAAAACACACTGGTACCTATTGATGCAGTCTGTAGCACAGCCCCCAGTAAATACAAATGGCTCCTTGTAGACCCTTCCCTTTATTTATTTGTTTTGATTAAAGAAAAAGAATCCTACTTAAAACTTGATGCTTCAAAGGTCTGAGGAAGCTAAATAATGTCTATATGAAGAAAGTGACCTCCACCAAAATAACCTGCACCATGGAGAGAGAGTTCCCATTATGGGGGAACAGACCCATACCCACAATTCTAATATTTTTAGGTCTTTAAGATGAAGGATTTTGAAGGATCTTTTTGCAGTAGACTGAAGAATCACTAAGTTGACATGACAGACAATGAATTAAACAAGTAAGGAAACAAATCCTGTCTTTCTCTACAAATCCTGTAAGCCCAGTCTGTTTTCTCCAGCTATACCTGTAAAATTACCATTCTCCTCCACATGCAACAGTTTTACAAGACTATTTTAAAAAGTAAACCAAAAGCCTTAAAGCAGCATAGCTAGAGTAAAAAGTAAACAAGAAGCAGATTACCCAGAATCAGAGCTGAATACAGACAGAGATTTAGACCAGACCACTAGAAGAAGAAATAACACAAGAGTAAGTTCTGTTTTCAGTATGCCTCCAAAGTTCAGCCAAAAAAACAGCTAAGAACTTTGAATGCAGAAAGTAATCTTGGAAGAAGTGATCACAAATGGTTCAAATTAAATCAAAATAGAAAGAGAAGAAGCTCTGGAGCTAAGGGCCTTATCTTCAAGAAGACATATCTGACAAAAAATCCTGAAACTTCTTAGTCAAGTCAGACTTGAAGAATTTAAAGTACTGGAACATGGGGGCTGCCTAGAATTTCTCTAGACCAAGAACTATCCAGTAGTTTCTACCTCCAGCAAGGATTCACCTTCTTTGGGTGAATAACCACCTCTGAAAAGAAAAGGTAGAATATCTACAAGAACTGACTGTTACAACAGACCAGCCCTGAAAGCTACAGTTTCAGTGATGGAAAAACATAGAAAAATAAGGGACCACTGCCAAAAGGTAAGTGGATTTAGATCCCACAGGGGAAATTACCAAAAGGTTATTCAGCCCCTTAACAAGGAGAACAGATAAAACAAGGAGAGACTGCCACACACTATGGATGGGATAAAAAGGAAATAAAAACTTTCCTAGTATTGGAGAAAGACTAATGGAATACTTTGCTTTTGCTTTCGATATGGGGAATGATGAAGAACATGGAGACAGAAGTAGGATGAGAGTAAGGGACTCTCATGGAAGGAACGATAAGCAAGGATTTGGAAAAAAAAAACAAAACAACTCAGGTCACGTGGAACAAGTAAATTGTTTCTGGAATATGAGACAAATCAACGAGCAGGTTCATGAAACTATAGTTGTATTAACAAGAAAGCTAAAGAAATCCATCAGGAGCACAACCAGAGGACACCAAGTAGAGGACACAGATTTAACAGCTCGCCCACCTCTAAGCCACCCCTAAGGCTTTCCATGCCATGGGCACACAGATAGCAGGTAAATGAAGCAAAGGTGAGACTATGACATAGATTTACCCCAGCTGGCTTTTTTTTTTTTTTTTCCTTTGGATACCTGATCTTTTAAATAAGGAAGACACAATAAATCTAATCTACCTGCTGTTCAGTGAAGCTTATGAAATTAATTTTACAAAAAAAAATACTGCACTGGAATTCATGGAGAAGACTTTCTTTTCCAAGTGATCACAGAAAAGATACTGTGTTAAAAGCCCCTTTCAGAGCTACTGAGCTGCTTAATATCATTGTAAGTACAGCTACATTGTTTCTAACGTGCTTTTTACCTCGAGGGTTGAGGTACAAACAGTATAAAGTTCCTTGGTCTGTTTTTTAAACAGCAAGTAAAAGCAAGGGACAAATGAAGCGGAAAAAGCACATAGTGGTTTTGGAAGATTCATGGAAGAGATGGTTATGGCAAACATTGAACTCCAGTCAGTAGAAAGGATAGAGAGAAAGGGATTCATCTGAACTGATCTGCTTGCTATCAGAAGTAGCTTTACCTTCTCAGCTATCAGTCTCAGCTGGCCATGCCATTAAGAATTGCAAAACAGCTAAGAAATGACCAAGCCCCATCAATAAGAAATTATATTTGTGCAAAATGTTAACCTAGGTCTAGCAAGCACGTGGACTGAGGCACATCCTGACTAGGAAACTCAAGAATCAGGCTACTTATCAAATATATTCTTTAACTGGGAATTACAGCCTTTGTAACTAATAACAGCCTGCAAACATTTTGCTACAACTGGTGGTTTACAAACAGAACCCCTTTAAAAGTAAAAGATACGTTCATTCTGTAATATGCAGAGCTTTGAGTCAAATGCTCCTCTGACTATCACTCCCCCAAGAAGATATTAAAAAAACATCTTCAGGTGTCTAAGGTGCAGCCTCCAAGCAGATGAGATGACAAGCTCAGCAAGGGGACATTCTGGAAAAATCTCCAGTTGGTTCAAGAACTAGCAGCTTTTCATTAAAACAACCCAGGCAGACCTGAACAGGCTGCTCCTGTGCATCTGTTACCTTTTCCATGACAACAACCTTCCAAGATCCATCTTATCTCCACCTACAAAGCCCTAGGAGTGACCAACCAACGAATCTCATTAATTATCTCAGCTACAACAATATGCCATGGCCAACACCAAGAGCGAAGTCAACAAGAGCAGGTGGAAGAACTTGCTCACCAGGAGGGCCTGCAGTTGGCAACTTCCGCTCAGACTGGCAGGCATGGTCGCTTCAAGGTCAAAAACTACAAAGGCATCTCTCTGCTTTAGCTTCTCCATTTTTGCTCTCCGCTAGGGTAAACATAAAAAACTCCAAGACACAGGATGATGAGAAAAATAGCAATAGCAAAAAAAACAGGTACGTTGATTTGGCGCAAGAGCACATAAAGGGGAAGGCAGGAGTCAAAGTGACTAACTTTAGAAAATAATTTAGGAATCCTAACTGTGATTTTAATATTCCTCAATCTTTTATTGGAAGACTAAAAATATTCAATTTATCCAAAGCTGGAATTAACAAAGCCATGCAGTATCCTGGAATCTAAGTTGTGCTGCTGGAGCTCTAAAGTTAAAGCAAAGGATGCAACGCCAGGAAAGTGTAAATCATTATAAATCATTAGAAAAATTAAAAGTAGACAATCGCAGAACCTTTATCTTAAAACGTGCTACTAAAAAATGAGATTTAAACAATAATTCAGCAGAATTTTTAAAAGGAAAATATTTTGCTTGAAGGGTATTGCCTTGATAGAAACTGCAGGCTCTTCTAGGCAAGGCACCAGTGGTTCTTAACCTAGGCCTACGCAACTACCACTGCTATTGCAAGGGTGAAGCACCACACCTGCCTTTCGCTGCTGATGCCACTGCCAACACAAGCCCTCCAGGCCCTGCTTAGACCTTGTCAGGTCCGGACATTAAATGGAGCCCTTACTACATCTCTCCAGAAGAGAAAAGCTATCCAAGCCCATCTGGGAAAAGACAACTATCTAAATTACAAATGAGCAGCCGGCAGTAAGAACAAGTTTGCAGATTACCTCTTATTGCCACACTGAGCACTACTACCATATCAAAAGCACTAAACGGAAGGTACATTTATCACATAACCCAACAGTGCTCCATAAATGCAATGCTACTTAATATATATTGCACTACTTACTCTCTGCACAAACTTCCTCCTCTTCATCCACGTTAGCTTCCTCTGGATGCAGTCTTTCGACTGCTCTATATGGAGGTGGTAGTTTCATTGGAGGTGGAGCCCCATATTTTCTCTAATGGATTCAAAGTAAAATAGTTACATGTTTTGTATCCTCTGTGTAGAAAAACATCATATTTTTCTTTGTCTCCTAAATTATCTACGTGCGCACACACACAGGCGTAATTACAATGCTAAAATCTGCAGCATAGGCTTTTCTTTGCAAGAAATCAGAACAAAAAGTGACACTGAGTATAGAAAAAAGATAATACAATAGTGCATACATACTTTCTTATTGACAAAATACTTCTCTATCACTGTAAACATGAAAGTATGAACATCAATCAAGGCATAAAAATAAACATTACATTATGACCCATTTCTCATTAGACACTTTAAACACTTCAATATTAAAATTTGCTGATACTGTTTGAAGTCAGCAAACCTTTAAAATACAAAATAAAATCACAAACTTCTTACTGCTTCTACAAGAATATTTACATATAACATGTCATCTATATTTTGGTTTAAATTTAAAAATCAATTTGAATTAGAACTTATAATAAAATTCTATTACCTCACATAAATACAGGCAGCTCCTATAATGATGCATATAGCGACGCATATCAGGCATAAAGAGTCAGCTCCGAATGCAATGAAAATGGGCGTTTGTTCATCCAAGCACTGTTTTTATAGCTCAGAGTAACTGGATCATGCCTCAGTTGGCTACATGATTTCACTAAATTACATTCAATTGTATCCCATACAACCACACCACTAATAGCAAGATGCACTTTAGAGGGGGAACAGTGAGTACAATATGCCATTAGAACAGCTCAAATGCTTGCAATGAATTTCTTCTATAGCTGGAAATCAGAATGCAACACCCAAACATCAAACCTGGAATAAGATTTTCCACTGTGTGCAATGAAAGCTGAGCCTAAATTTGTATAGAATATTCTAAGCAGCAAATCGTAATGCAAACTACATACAAAAATCTATGATTTACATCATCCTGCCCATTTAAAAATTATTATAGCAAAGTGCTGCACTGAGGACAGCATAAGAGTAATAAGTTAAAAGAATTCTAGCCCATCTGTAGTAACAGTGTTTAATAAAAGCACTTTGAGACAAGGCAGTTGTTTCCCCAAAGCATACAACACACCAACTCGCCTCCCCTTTACTTGCTCGACCTCAGCACACGAAGAACTGAACAAAATCCAGAAGGTCCAAGCAGCACTGCGTGGAAGCCGCTGCCTAAGTTACTGAGTAGGTGAAGATGGAAAACCCACAGCCCCACTCTCAGCCCTACGACAAATCAGTATTGCTATAATTCATTAAGAACTCAGAGCTTAAACGTTGGCCCTTTGGCTTTTTAAAACCCTAAACTTTTGTTAAAAAGTTTGAGGGAAATTACAAAGACAAGTTTATCCAGCAGCTCGCTACTGCTCAGAAGCACGGATTTCTCTCGCCTGCTGGAAACCCAGGTGAGCACATTGTTCTGTTTGTGGGAGGATCTCCAACAGAGCACTATGCCACGTTTGCAAAACTTCTGTGTGGGAAATGGAGACTCTGAAAGTAATTCTAGATCTTTACTGGCCTAAACAAAAGGCAAAAACAAATTTATCCTAAAATTTGTCAGTTTTTATAAGGATCATCCTAAAAGTCTCTGACCATAAACATAGAGAGGTCAACCAGAATCTAGTCTTATTGATTTCAGTGGGCTCAGAATCTGCTTGATAAAAGAGAAAAGCTTTAAAAAAAATTTCTCGAGTGCACTATATAAAAACTTCTATTTCTAGATTTTACTTTCAATTAGAGTTATATATAAAAATAGTCATTCTGGCAAAGTCCCTCTCTGGCAGAAATGCTAAGTATTATGTATCTTTTCTATTAGATCTCTGATGTCTAAGAAAAATGAAGTATTTACCAAGGGAAGAAAAAAAAAAGCACCCTTCAGATTCAAATTGTGGAAGAAATTTTTATTCTGGAACAATAAGTTCTCTAATTTACTTGCTCTGCAAAATAGAAAAAAAACAAAAAAACAAAAAAAACAGGATCTTTCCTGTTGAGCCACATCTACTGAAATGTCTTCGCTGCTCAGAACTTCTTTTCAAAGATTTATGTCCAAACATTATGTACTTTTTTTTGATCATAAACTGTTCTTTAATTTGATTTTTATGGAGAGGTACCAGTCTACCACTATTTCCAAAGAAGAGAGGACATCAGTAGAAGAATTAGATTTATAGAAGCATCATTCTTCTTCTTCAATCTGATATTGTGAAATACCTTGCTGCTTTTTAAGCCTAAGTTATTCTGACTTGCATGCTCAGCAGAGCTGAGCACATAATAAGTTTTACTGAAAATACATTCTTTGAGTACAAAATGAAGGGAAAGGAATGTGACAATTTTTTTTCCCTAGATCCAATAGATACAGTCTGTCAAAGATTGAAATATCAGCTAGGAAGTGTCAAAAGGGAATAAAAGGAAATAACAAATGACGGGACACGGGCAACTTTCTACCTTAGGACCTTACACACAAGAACACTCAGGTACCATTGCAACGAACAAGTAGTTACTATTTTCTTTTGAAAATTAAGAGTGTAGGAAAGTAAAAGAAAAATCATTTACAAAGTAATTTTTTCAGGGGCAGGCTGGGACATGACCAAAGTGAATGCACCCACTTCGCATAAAACAAAACACAGCTTTTTTTTTTTTTTTTTTTTTTTAAGTAAAAATTACATTCTAGCTGCTTCACCTAATTTCACAATGCTCTGTTTGTTCTGCCTACATGGTTTGATTTACAATTCCCTCTAGTCAGTGGAGAGACTTCACATCCACTTTACCCATACAGTATCTTCAGAAATTCCTCACAAAGAGTGGAGTATGATAGGAAAAAAAAAAAAAAAAAGTGAATGGTATATAACTGTGTTTTGCATTCCCCAATTTAAGGTAGCAGAGTACTCCACTAAACCAGGTTTTGCATTAACACGGCTTCTTCCAACACAAAAGCAAAACCATAGTTTACATAGCCAAACAGAAAATTACTTTAATATCTGATTTGTTCATAAGAAGCTCAACTGTTTTAAGTGGTTTTATACAAATGACTTCAAGTGATCGTTTTTAAACAAACAGATCATGAGAGGAGGATAAACACCAAAAAAAAAAAAAAAAAAAGAGAGAAAACCTTCAGGGTTTAAAATTTTTTTTTTTCCAGTTGGATATGGCTGGTTTCAAGCCACACTCTTTTGTGACACTTTGAAGACTGGACTCGAAATATCAGTGATTTCCCATAGGAACGCAGGCTAGTAATCCACTAATAGCAACTCTTTCTAACTCAGAGCTGCCCCTACTGTAGCACAGTATGACTGCTTTGTGAATTAATGTTCAAAGCTAAAAAGGAGCTACATATTTATGCACTGAAGCTCTTCAATATTCCACCCACTAGTTTACAGCACCAATAGATGAAAAAGGTTTGAAAAAGATTAAGCTCACTCTTTAACCTCCTAACACTATAGAACGCAACACACTGGCGTCCTAGAGATTAAAGGCAGCACATTGCAAGTGGATGAGCGCTTTTTAGATTAGAAATATAGATAACAAAACCAAGAAAAGGGGATTGTAACTGCTTCATTATAACTATTATCCACTGGCATGAAAGCATGACTTCAACACCTTTCTTGATTTTTTGGAATAACTGAGCCTCACAGTTTCTGAAGCTTATGGGATCTGAAAGGAGGCTTACAGAAACTTCTGAAGCAAGAGGGCCTTCTGAGTTTGCCAAAAAACACTAAAGAACTGAGTGAGTTCAGACAAAAAGTTCATCATATTCGCAGTCGGCATGTTAAACTGCGCTGGACAAAAGTGATCCTCCACCCTAGGTCTGTCCTCTGCTCGTTCAGTTCTGACACACGCAAAGTATCCGGCCCACAGCAATCAACGCAGTTCCCAGAAATAAGGCATACAGCAAAATACCTAGGCCATTAGAGCAGTCTGTCTGGGAGTGAGAAATTAAATTTTTCCCTTACTGCAGAGTAACTAAAACAAATACACTGGTTTAGACTGAATGGATTCTTTATTTTTAAATCTGCCATGAACTTTTTAGAAAGTTGCTGTGCAGTAATTGCTAACCTATTAGTAGGCCAACTGCAGATCACGTGGTCATTTCCTTGTTATATCACAGCAATGGGAGACTTAAGAGACTCAACTGATTTACTTACCCTGTAACATGATTTCACTGAACGTCAGCCAGTCTAACATTAAAGGATATTATTTGTGTACATGTTACTGTTTTTCTCTTTCCATTTAACAAGGGGAATCAATTTGCCTCCAAACTGGGCAAAACAGATACTTGTAGAGAGATGCCAGTGAAGAGCTGCAATGGCTGCACAGTTACAGCAGCCAGGGGAGACCCAAAAGACACTTGTCAGAACCTTGCCTTGGATTTGGCAAAAATTGAACCAGACAGATTTCAATGAAACACTTCAAACTTAATTTCAGACTTCAACAAAGGCTTAACATCCATTTATAACACAAGTTGTTATACCATTTGATTTAATAAAACCTAGGTATAGCATTCAAATGAAATAAATACCTTTTCGTTCTTATTTTCTTTGTCTGCGTCCTGAACTTTGCTCCCCTTAGGCTGCATAGGAGAAACTACCTGAAAAACATAATGTGTATGTTGTGCATATTAAAAAGAGCATTACAGTTGCAAAGCAAGCATCCAGAAGTTAGGTAATTACAACAATAAAGATTCCCAGCACACCTTTCATTTTGCCCCATGTGGAAGGGCATCACAATGCAGTTTTACATTACTTGCTCTTACAGATGTTACCAACATTTGGTACTTCGTTTACTGCTCACTGTTTGAAGTCTGGCCCCACCTCTTCATTCAATAAAATGTTCAAAGTCAACAGTATGGATTTAAAAACTTGATATAGAACTCAATATGGACTCCTGAATAAGTGTCAGTTCTTTAATCATTCAGAGCTGAATAAATATGTTTTAGAAAGTAAACATCAAATAAGCAAGTACAACACTGTATCATATTTTTGTTGCTCAAAAAAGCATACAGTAGTAAGATGTTATTTAAAAAAAAAAAGTAAGACAGTAGTTTACTGTAAAAACAGTCAAAAGCACTATGAAAACATATTTGTTGAATGATTAATTAGGAACAATCATGTGGTGGTCCAAAGACAGCAGTAGAATGAACTCAAACAAAAGCTGCACTGCAAGCAGCCTGGAGATCCCATGTGAAATAGTTTCTGTACTAACCTTAGTACTTGAAATTCCTAACAAATATCTCAATCTCCATCTGTTTACCTACTGAGGCAGGAAAGAGACCCATGTCCCTGCAGATAAACACCATACAGAAAAGTGCATGCTTAGCCACCACGTAATATTCCTCCTTGATGTTCTTTATCCTTACAAGGGGAAACATCTACTTCTAATGCTTTTTCATTATTCGTCATGCTGGATACATAATTAAATCTCAAAGTTGCTGGGAGAGCCTATAAGAAGTACTCAAAATGCAAGTACGCAAGTTTATTTTAGACCTTGTTTTGGGTCAGAAGATTAGGCCATGTAAAAGGAAAGGGGAACTCTTGGGTTCCTTCAGTGTCACAGAATGTAACAGACTCCCACTCTTTTAGCAGCACCTTATTTTGGTGAATGGGAGCTGAGAGTCACACAGTGAAATACAAATATTTACAGTGTTCCAGCTTTCCTTCAATCTCTTTCGATTGCCAAGGAAAGTGAGGTTCACAGAGAGGCAGCCGAACACGCAAATGTTCTGGCACTTTTTTTTGATCTTCTTTTCTGTGAAAGAGTCCGTAGCTTAGCTGCTGGAAGTCGTAACAGATTCAGAAAGACTCCCTGGAGCACAGGAAAAATAATGAACGTGGTGTGCCAGATTTGTCTGCAGTAGTCATAAAGGTCTCAACTCAGGTCTATGAATCCACCAAAATTCCTGAGCAACTTCTCAGATAATACCAAAAGCATACAGAAGTCTCATACTTTTTGTGTACTCCAAGAGAGGGAGAATTGTGCGTCTTCTCTTATGAGGGGGCTAGCAGTTTCTGGCCTTGGCCTTGAAGATAAGGGCACGCCTAAATCTCTTAGATTTAGCTTGCTCCCAAACTACTACTGCAGAGACCTTTGGTGACATATTTGGATTAGATTTTTAGAGCATATTTTCAGCTATGAAATACAAATTAAAATACACAAGGCTAGACTCAATTACACATGCGGGAGACCAAAATTACCACCTACTCAATAGACGCGCATCTACTAGATTTACATCAGAGAAACAAGGTTTAGAATCAGACCAAATAAATAATCATGTGGTCCATGAGCAGAAACTCTGTCAGAAAGGATGGATACAAAATAGACAAACCCTGCTGGAAGAAATTTAGCCAAGTTTAAGATGCATATTACACATCCATTAAGTTTTGGAATAAAAATAGGAATAAACTTACTTTTGGCATGTTGGACAAACTCTGAACGACAAATACAACAGGATTTCCTGCATTCTTGATAACTTCTACTGCTTCCTCGTGCGTGGCGTTTTGTAAGTCTACCCCAGAAACCTAACAAACAATTCATTTTTATTAGGCACTTTCTCTCTTGCAGAGTCACTACAAGAGATCGCATACATTCACAGATTAGCATGTCACAGGAAGGTACCAAAAGCAGTCAAGAGAAATTAATTTAAAAGTATTTTTCTATGATGCTTTAAGAGAAAGCATCTTTCTTAGTATTAACAATTAAAGACAGGCCACTTTTTTCCCAAAGCAATTTTTGTAGATAAAAACGTAAGGAACAAGACTGTCAGGGAATGTTAGATAAAACACCACTCTTTCAGGTTTTGCCTGTTTATGAGCTAAATCTGTTCTGAGAATGTTCTTCAAAATATTACACGCAACCAAACAGCACATGCAAGAATGGCACCCTCCGCATGGGAACCCCAGATTCAGAACTATTCATTTGGAGTGGAATGACTAAAAAACAACATCGAGCCAGAGGTGACAGGATGTACAGGACTGGCATTGTCCCCTGAGGCATCTGCCAGAATCGGGGATTTTCCCTTAAATAGAAGTTGACCAGACCGTTAACTACTCCAAATTAACACACTTCAAAACACAGCCCAAATTTCAGTATGAAGAAAGAGACTATGCAGACAATGCGACTTTAAAGAAATTATTCATTATTCATTTACATGGCAAGAATGGTCTTTCATTTTTTCCATTTAAGCATTAGATACCAGGATCTATCTTTTCTTAAATAAACAAGAGGATCTTAAAAATTCTGTGTTCAGACCTTAAATGAAAAGGACCAAAGGGATTTAATTTTGGTTTTCCAAACACAGTCATAAAATCCTTCATGAAGCTGTGGCGGTATTTTGTCCCTCCCGCCCCCAAAGCTATCTCAGTCAATCTTTATTTCTTAAAATGAAAAGGTAGGCCCATCTGCATTTACCTCAAGTATTTTATCTCCAGTTTTTAAAGCCCTTGTTCTTCCTGCTGGGCTGTCTTCCAAGACGTGTTTGATAAAGATCCCTTTAAGTTCCTCTCCATTCTTCAGGCGCTTTATGACAGTTTGTCCACCAACAATACTGATTCCAAGAGACATGTGAGGGTCTCGAAAGATCTCAACACTGAAAAACGCACGCAGTAGCAGTTTAACAGCTTGAAACAGCTTTTTAAGCTATTAAATATGAAGCCTTAAATAAATGCAAGTTTTTGGTCTTTCAAGAAGATTCAACAGTAAATGGATAAAGCCAGATACCTAAGAATGCTCTCAACGGAGGTGTTTCTTTATCCTGAGCAGGTCTTGCCCTACACAAAACACCAAAATTCTGCTGCAAACACAAGACCGCTGCCCTTCCAACAAGCTTTTATTTTAGAGGAAATCCGGGTAAAGGCAGGTCTGGAAGTAAACAAACTCTGTTTCTTTCACAGAAAAAAAGACGTAAGGTAAATGAGAAATAGGGTAACCATATCAACTTACATGCGTGGTGGGCCCCAATGGCTGAAGTTGGGAGTTTCTTCTCCTTCTCCTTCTTCTCTCTCAGGCAATTCACTAATTGGGAGCAGGGGGAAGAAAGGAATTCAAAAGTTAAAAAGTCAACACATATGCCAGGTCTCAATTGCTCACGCGTTTTGTATCTGGCGGTATGAGAGCGGTATCTCCTCATACCATCCAGTTCAAATCAAATGTGCACAGTCAACAGACTAGATAGGAGATTTTTTGTATTTAGATTCAAAAGTACTTAAGGAATGCTTCAGAAACAAATATGATGGGCAGACCAAATTTATAACCTGCTCTGTGATACACAAATCTGCACTGCTTTAACTCATGCTAAACGGCTTCAAGCAATTAACATTTACTTACTGATTAATATGCTGTGATTCTTCTAGAGTGATATACGGATGATAAAGCCAGTCCAGCTGACCAGAAAGCCAAACGTAATGTAACTGGGAGAACAGATCCTGTGCAGTCCATTAAATGCCTCAGAGCAGGGCGGTAATTAAACTTTTGTACTATATATTACTCACCTCTTCAAGGAAGAGGAAATATCAAATCGCATGCCCCCACAAGAAACTTCAACCACGCAACCTTGCACACATTTTCTGCAGATCCTAAGAGCTGTAAATGCTACTCTTACATTGCAAAAACAAAGCAGGATGTTGTGCTGGAGACATAATCCCCTCACTTCATTCGCTGAACTGCTTTCACTCAGAGGGAAGATTACACATGACTTAAGAAAGCACTGAGGATGAGCCAACAGGCCCCAAAAGCAGATCCACTACCCACTCAACAACTATTTGGCTGGGGCAATTATGGAATGCTTGACAGATGTATCAAATATCTATTGCCATTGCCAGCTCAAGGTTTCTTAGCAGCACGAGTAAGATTTAATTTTTCCTGCATAGGCCTGTGGGCCACAGGTGAACCGCCCTTCCCTAAAAGGATGAGAGGGGAAAAACAAAGGGAAGGGGAAAACAAGAGGACAGAGCTGTGATGGGGAGCTAAGGGCAGAGTTCTAAGCGGTAATGACTGATGCTGATGGTACTTGCAACTTCCCTCTCCTCCAGACCCCATCCCTTTCTCTGGCTCTCCACATACCCTGGAGTAAGTGAAGAAGGTGGCAGAACCCGTGGCACTTTTCTGTCCCAGTACTCCAGGAGAAGAAACATGGCAAGCAAAGATTCAATATAACCTGCAAAATTCAGTTCCTTGGGCAGAAGTCAGAACTGGCCACAACCTATATGTGTACTGCAGCTTCATACAGCCTTTAACAAGTGGTCAGTTAAGTAAAGCAGGAAGAAAACTGAGAGTAAAAAATCATCAGAAAACTGAAATCCTTTCTCCATACCTGCACGACGCTGTTCTAGGCTGAGGTAAGGTGGTAACTCTCCCAGATTCCTGATTCTTAGAAAAAATATAATTCTCCTCTTTTAGTTCCTTTTCAATAGCTTCCAGATCAACAGCAAGCACAGGTACCTTCGAGTCAATCCGAAGCTTTGTACCTGAAGAAGAAAAGGTGCAGATGTAAGCGTCTGCTTCTTCTGTCCCTTCACCTAGCAATTCCAAGCAACCTCGGAAACAAGTCCCTTAGCTCACCATGTTCCAAATTTGGATGTTACATGACGATCAAGAGACTTGGAGAGATACAAAACATATCTTTTTGAAGGAAATTTAAATGACACTAAATATTTTTTTAGCCCCTTGCTTCTGACATACTTTCTGGCATATCTAGTCAAGCAATAACAGGAAGTGCCAAATCTTTGTGGAACCCAGATAAGCTTAGGTACATGAGCAATGTCCTCACAAAAGTACACAATTAGAAACAGCGAACTCATTCTTCAGCAAAATCTCTGCTCCAGCATGGAAGCCCATCACACTGGGAAAAATTGATGTCATGTTGGTGCCATAAATATCAACACTAATTAAGCCACCACAGCTCCTGGCCAGAGTCATTAGTCTGCCAGTGTGGCTTACACACTGTTGGTTGTATGAGACTTAGGTGACAAAGAAAGGGAAAAATCCAACTTCCTTTCTCCCAACAAGCAAGTGCTATCTCAGGCAGGCTTATAAATTAGTCTCCTGATAATGTACCAAATTCCAACCATCAATTTAGGGTAAAATTAATTAGGCCCTGAAGAAATGGCTCAAATCGTGTGTGCCAATGTAATGAAACATCACCAGTCCAGATTGCATCTGAAGAAAATGCTTGTTAAAATTTCCATCCCAGCCCCTTCTCCCTCCCTCTCCAAGGAACCTCTTGAAACATTTCAGTGTGTTCACTGCCACTCCTATTGCTTGACTGGGTTGCTCCCTGCTCCAATTGAGGCAGCCTGCAGAAAGTCAAAACTCAGCCAGTGATATAGAGGACCGATTCAGATCCAATGAAAAAAATCCTAGCACACAGGGACAACAATCTCACCACCTTGAGAGGTGGCATGAGACCGAAAAGATAAATTCTTCACGTCTGTTCCAGCGACATGCCAAAGCTCACAAAGTGGCGAGCGAGAACAGACAGAGGCAGGCTGTGAGTTGCTGTTTCCTGGGCTGCTGTGAAACTAAAAAGGTTGCTGCAGTGTCTCACACTACAAACAGGTCCACAGGTTGCTCCAGATCTCCTCCACAGAAGAGGATCAGGCTCCACAGAATTACTGACCAAACACAGTGTTCTTGTCAAGGGCAAGCTCTCTGGCCATCTGAAGAAGAAGATGCTTTGCTCCTGAGCACAGATTACAAACATAAGATACAGTGCAATCACCTACCACAGAGTTCACTTGCAAATGCCGGGTGTGGTAAAGTCACCCTCCGAGCCTAACATTCCCTCCTTTTTTTTTTTTTTTTTAAAGTGTGAAAATCTATAAAATCAGCAGTCAAATGTGATGGAGGCGGAAAGAAATTTTAGGCGTGAGTTATTTTGCTCTTGTGTGTAGTGCATTACACTAGCTAGAGGACATAGCTTCACAAAGGACACTGATTCTCCACTAGCAGGACAAAGCAAACCATTTCAGCTGCAGCCACTTTCCGTATTTCTGTGACAATGCTAGGAAAATATTCGGAGGCAGAAGTGAGATCAAGAAGCTGGAGTCTGTTTAAAGCCAGACTGCCTTGAGCCTGTAGAACTCTTCATTTGAATATTATATCATTCAAAAGACTGAACACAAAATTTGTTGTTTGGTATAAAAGTTAAATTTTGTAAATATGCAATTAAAACATATGAAAAAGCTTCTTACAAACCTAAATCCCTCTTGTTTTTTGTTCCTGGCTGGGTAATTTCAGTATCAAACACGTCCTTCTGATAGCTGCTCTCTGCTGTGGTTCCAGAAGATAGTGAACTTACACTGGCATTTTCTTCATACTTTACAGACAAGAAAAAGTAATCAAAGTTAGAAAGAACTGGAATTTACACAGCAATATTTGACATAAACATTGATTTTACAGCAAACATTCACATTTTCTGAGCTACATTCATATTTATTTATCAAGATAACTACGAAACACTAAATGCTCATTTAGGCACTATATTAAAGAGAGGTGTGAAAAATATTATACGCAATTACAATATGAAACAATTGTCACATCTTTTTCCATGTCTTTAATCCAGACAAGAAGTTACTGACTTCTGGCTTATTTGTAATTTTTAAGTGACAAATGTATGGACTGAACATTGTGTATTGTGGTATAAAACTGGCACTCAAAGCTGCATTTTAGCCTTTTTTATAGAGAGAGAGATATATACATATACATACATATAATGTGTATATACACACACACACACATATATATATGTGGTGCAGAAGGCCTGTAATTGTGTTTGTGGCTGTGATTTTAAACCCATTTCCATTTCTGTTTCTTCATATAAAAGCATACATCTCAGAGGCTGTTGCACGGAAGGCCGTTATCATTACTTTTTTGTTGGGCAAGTGAATGAACAAAGACTCAGAAGGATAAAAAAAAACCAAACTTCTCAGTGCATTTGAGGAGGACGTATAAATAAGAGTTTGGCAATATCCCCAAAGTTATCTCTGCTTCTGTTCCTTTATCCATCAGCATGCTTGTTATAATTGCTTCCCCCATATCATTTTGTGCTCAACTGCAGTATCATCTGCTTCAAGGAATTGATCAGGATTAAGAATAAGGAGAAAAAGAGGGAGCTTCTTTCACTATCTTTGCTGTTGAAGCCCCTGGATTACTGAAACTGTGACCTAACCTTCCGCTATTACTGAAGCGCACACAAATTAGTGCAGCTTGCCAAAAAAAAAAAAAAAAAAAAAAAAGGCCAGAAGTTAAGAGGCGAGAAAGAGGACCCAAGTAGAAAATGACTGTAATACGCCAATCAGGGCACATAGCATTCAAGCAGTTAAACATACAGACACAAAGTAACAGAAAGAACCTTCCCTGATGTTATAACAGAACTGACTATTTGTAAAACAGCAATCAAAATGCAACTCTGTACCAAAGAAGTTGGAGGTACTAAGATCTCATCTAGTAATTACACACAAAGTTTAGGTCTTGATATGGAGGTCCTCACTGTCAGGATATGGCACTGGGACCCACCACAGCATTCCTTACCATTTGCTCTTTATTGAGTGGATATTCCAGGGACTGTTTTCGACTGAAGTGAATACTAGATTTTAAGTCTTGCATTTCAGTTGTCTCAAGTTTCTTCGCCCATTGCTCTGTAGAGTTGAGGTCCCTCTCTGAAGTTGTCTTCTGTCTACCCGATGAGTCATATTTCAGGAAGTCGGAATCCACTTCATACTCGTCATCTACCAACATTTCCCGTTCTTCATCCACTTCTTCTGTTCTAGGTTTCAGAAATTCATGCATTTCCCAGGACTCTTTCTCATACTCCATATCATTTTGAGGAAGCTGAAATGACCTTCCTAAACCCAAAACTGGTTCATCAACAAGCTCTTCTTTAAAAGGCGTTTCATCTCTGAAACCCTGCACAAAACATTACAGGAACATAGATTTTACTTTTAGTTCTTTCTAATTCTTTTGAAATTATGTTTTGGGTTAGGCTTATATTAAAATTATGTCCTGATTTTAAGTTGAAAATCTTCCACCTTTTGCATTTTACTAAAAGAAACTAAACTGAAGCCTTGAAACAGTCTCTGATCTATGAGTTGAATGCAAAAGTAGGCACTGAAATTTTTTTGCTGTTGTTGAAGATAAAGAAATGGAAATTAGAAAGCTCAGATATTGCTGCAACCATTCAGAAAAACAATCTGGACTGCAGTTAGGAAATGGGAATTATTAAATAGCACTAAAAAAACAACAGGAAAAAGCACATATAAAGCCATCTAAAGCATCTTTGAGCTCCAGACTTATTTGCTATTGCTCTATGCGTGCACGCGCGTTTCTCACAATACCACCAGCAAAAAAAAAAAAAAAAAAAAAAAACAGCCCAGGAGTTTGCTTAGGCAACAAAAGAAATACGTGTTTGTCCCTCCCTTAGTTATTCCATATAATACTTTTAACTACAGGGGAAAAACTCTGCACAAAACAAAGACCCACCACAACTACTCAAGGACCTGTCAGTACCCGGACGAGAGCTGTCTCTGAAACACCTTCACTCAACCCAAATCAGCATGGCCCGAGGAATTAACAAGAGGAAGACATAATCCCTGCTCCCTATCTCACACCCTTGCTGTTTTCAATAGAAGGGCGCTCAGTTTGCTACTGACTTCATGGTACAGAGCAAGGCACAACAGGACCAAAGGAAAAGGTCTTCGAATCCGCTCCCTGAGAGACCTTGCCCAACAATTCTTCTTCCGGGATTTGTCCCATTCCCTTCCAACTTCTCATGCTCTGTTCTTCTCCTAAACCGAGAGGAGTGCTATCAACCGGCTCATGAGCAAGTCTGACCACAGCTTGACTCTGTGCGGGTGTTTCTGAAACGTTACACCCTGTACAGCTACCCAAAAGCTTGCCATGCACACAAAGCTCTCCGTCGCTTAAGGTCACCACGTACATACACCCAAACCTGCCCTTCAAGGCACTGAGACACCAAGCACTGAAACAAATCTACAGATTGAGGGGTACTGAATCCAAGTGTTTTTCTTTCTACTTCCTGTCCCTTCCCAGACTCCCCAAGCTCCTTCTCTCCTTCCGACCCTTAGCGTCAGGATCCTATTTTGTCAGGTTTGTATTAGCACAGAACAGAACTGCCAGAAAGTGCTCACAGCTCCAACGACCGGTTGGAGAGAAAACAGGAGACAGACAGGAACGTAGAGGAACAGCGCGATGATACTAGTTGGCATGAACACAGAACATGAGCAATCCAGAAATTACCACATTTTGCAAGGGCATTAAATATTCGTTTAATACATCTGCCCTGTCTTTTTCTATCTGAAAACATACACAGTCTGAAGAGACTCTAATTCTCTTCAGCTTTACCTCGTTTCACTGCACTTCAGCAGCATCATTCTCCAAGCATGGTGTTTTTGTGAGAGGCATCAACTTCAGTGCTATTTAAGGAGGTGACTTACCTCAGAAACCACACAGCAGTTTGTATTACCTATCTCCTCATAGAGCACTTGGGTATGGGTAATCACAGACTGCTGCACTGCAGTAGCAGACTCTACCAATGGCACGGGGAATACTGCAAATACGACAGTAAAGTCTACTATTGTTGCATATATAATGTTCGAGTTCCTTTTTTTTTTTTCCTAGCCAGTCTTCTTTTGTCAGCACTACAGCGCAACATAACGGTGCAAGCCATCATGACACACCAATCTTGGCTCTTATATGAGCAGATAAGATAATAAATTGATGGAAATTTTATATCATCTCTCTAAGTTACTATCAGAGCTATCATATATGAAGTAAAACATACAAGTAAATACTTGTACCTGTATTCTATACAAATTGATCATTCTAGTTTCCACATTCACCAGACATTTAAGATGAAACACTACTTCAAAAATACTTAATAGCATTAGCTTTGTTTTCTGAAGTAAGAGAAGCAATTTGGGCTGGCAGAGGACTAACTGATCCGTCTAGTAAATAAACTCCATCTAGTAAATAAACTCCATTCTGCTCGTAAGAGTCAGTAACGATCATGTCCAGGCTAATTTCTACATAGGATATCTACATCTATCACATAATTCTGCTTCTCTTGGTGGTTCTAACCTATTGTTTCAGGTTTAAAGATAGGTTTGTGTTTAAAGACAGGTAGACAGGTTTAAGAAGTTTAAGAATATAGAAATTTATAAATTATTTTTTTCACTATGTTGTAGAGCTAGATGATCCTTTACTGATTTTCAGTCCAAAAAAATACAATTACCATTATGAATTCATGTTTGTAAAGCATTTGAGATCAGATGGAAATTCAAAAACATCCGCATCTCTCTCATCCTATACAGATGAGTATTGCTATACTATTGCCTATTACCCTAATCTGTGAGTTTCTCACTAGCTTTAGTGCCTTGGCCTCCCACAATAAACAGAATTATTCCCTCAAAAAATATGAAAGAGAAGAATTGAGAAAGAGATTAAAGAAATTACATAGAAAGTCTATGAAGAAGAACAGATCAAGTTTGCCTTATACATTGGACTTTTTTTTTCCTTGTTTGCTTCGTTGCAAGCGTTCTGCTTCTACACTACTTTATTCGAAAAGCTGAATGAAAAAATTATGATTACTAATAATGCAGCATTCCTATTTCATATCCAAGGTACCCAAGGTATTTAAACAATATAATAAATCTGAAAAGGCAGTCCAGGAACTGCATTGGTAAGTACTATGCATATGCTTGGTGTTCTCACCACAGTTAGCATATAATTAGCTGTCAGAGTCTACTTTAGATGGGAATTTTAACCGGACTATCAAGTTCATCACAGGATCAAAACTGACTCCTCTCCAAAACCGAAGCCTTATCGGAAGGAGACACTATTTTCTGACTTTAAAAATTCATTTGCTGCCTCTATAAACTTAAGCTGAACCAAAAAGATAATCAAATACCTGTGGTGCTTCAAGTATTATTGAGAAATTATTATCCACTGGTTCTGGAGATCCAGTGCTGGTTTTAACATTGCTGGGATCCACACTGCACATGTTCTCCTCCTCTTTGCTTTCTCCCTAAGACACACAATCAAAAATGGTGAGTCAGGAAAACAAACAAACTAAAAAATCCCATATTTTTCAGAAAATGAAAGGGAGAAGCAGCAGTTGGAAGAGAGGAGAAAAATTACAGAACAGCAAAAAAGGGAGGTCCCAGAAATGAGGAAGGTGAAGAGAATAGCTTTTATTCTTTTAAGATACTAGTACACATATAGCAAAAATTAAGAGATGTGTAGGAGAGAAAGACAAATACAAGGATATGAACAATAAAATAAAACTTTTTTTTGAAAAAGGAAAGAATGCATTTAACAGCCTTTCTACTTTCCTATTTCATCGCTCCTTTATCAGTTTGAATTACAAGCATTTTCTGTTAGATGGTGCTTTGCTTTAATTAATTTTGCCTGGGTGCTCTTGATGAACAATGCAGCAGTGTTCTCAGGTAAACTACTGTCTGCTCCAAAGCCCTGAGTCCAGAAAGAGGAAATTCTACTTGAATTTACAGTCTTGACTTCAAACAGATTAACTTTCTTTGATGTCAGTGGAACTTAAGCACTTCGCACCATCTTAGAGAGAAATGGACTTTGGCACATATTTAACTGATTTGCCGAACGCCTGGAACCACATTACAACCATGCATCTGTCCACTGCACATCCAGGTTTGCCCCAGACATGACTTCTGATCCCATGTGAACGTTCTTTCAGGAGGAACTTGAGAATGCCGGTTCTTCAGCAAGACCTTTTGGACATACAGCTGCCCATTCTGCCACCTTTGTAAGCTATCCAGAGTTTCTGGACATGTTTGAGGCATATGCACTGCAACTTTGCTGCTTTCCACACGCATACATACTTCTGCCCTGAATTTCCCAGAAAAGAAAATACAGCAACCGTGCCTATGCATGTCACAGAATGAGAAGCAGATAACTTAAAATCAGTCCTTACCACCAAAGGTTTGCAGATTCCAAGAGAAACTGTACCTGGTGGCACAGATTTCAACACTTCCACTGCCTCTCCTAAAGTGGCACTGTCCAAAGACTTCTCATTTACAAATACCAAGCGGTCACCTGGCAAAAGCTCCCCTCCACGTTCAGCTACTCCGCCTGCCACCAAGGAGCTGATCACAATGGCTGTTCTTGTCGGATCTAAGGGATCCTAGAAAAAGAAAAAGAAGGGAGGAAAAAAAAGCAGCCCCCTCAAAAGGTGGTTTGTTTATTTTGAATATATACAGAGCAGTTAAACATGTTCCTTGTCTTATGCTACAGAACTGAACCTTGCTAAGACATTCAAAAGGACAATCTAATACAGCCAAGCCTACAGTTTAAAAAAAGGAAGGTTTGCAGTAGGAGGATACTCTATTGCTTGCCTAAGAAGATTAGCAAATTTAGCTTCTGAAGCTGACTGATACCCTCCCTAGTCTCTTCTTACACACAGAGGAATGGCCAGGCCAACCTGCAAACAGAAAACCAACGCTGGCTCCTGACTCTTTCATGATCCTCCACCCACCCTATTATGCACTAAAGCTACATACTCAAGAGCTTCAGATCAACAAAATTTGTGTTAAAGAATAATCTTTGCAAAAATAGTATTAGTGAAATACCTAGGTGTATACCTTTACTAAGTCATTGCAGTATTGCTGTCCTGTAAAATCTGTATGATAACTTTTAAAAGATGTGTTCTTCACCCCATGAAGCTGCCTAGTAGAGAATACAGGGAACAGCAACAGAAGAGAGACTAAGATTATTACTAAGTTCCTTGTATTCGTTAGAGATGAAAAGAGAGGAATGCGAAGCAGAAAAATACTGTACGCACTGGAAAGACTATAAACTGATACGAAGATAGGCACTTCACTTGAATTTTTTCCAACATTTATCTTTGCATTGTATCATGTACCATTTCTATCAAACGTTCAGCTGTTTAAAACTACATCCTCAATCCAATAAAATGATCAAAATGTATTATATAGTCGCGGAAAGATACACAAATATGTATGGTTGAGATATTTTTCCAAGATTAAAATTCCCCTTTCTCCCATTTGCTAAGTGCTCATAAAGTCTGGAAATGCTCCTTGTATGCACTGTGTCTTCAAATGCATAATAACGTATTATTTTTCCCTCAGGACTTGCATCTCATTCAGGGCATGGGAGGGATCAAAAAAGGGCAAAACTCCACTCAGAGACCACCACGAATTCAGCACCTCAGTGTTGACTTGAAAACAGGAGTGCTTTTCTAACTTTTTATTTTTATGCAATTATACATTGCCTTCCAAGTGAACACTTTTTTTTAAACTATGTGCAAACATATGATGCAATGAATGCGGTAGCTGTAAGTGCCTCAAATTAGAGACGTTTACCTAGAGGTCAGTAGGAAGAACCATGCCGAAGTTGAATTCAAGTAATATATATTACTAATAACTCCCTCTTGTTCTGCTGCTTAATCCTGCCATCTTCTAACCTTTCCAAACACCAGGCATCCACACTGTACAGAAGGGGCTTCCTTGCAAGTGTCGTGTCGAGATAACCAAGCTGAGCAACCTCTTTCTACGCTGCGGCGATGTGCTGCCTACTGAACGAGGGCCAATATGCTTGGGTTGTCCAATCGTTTAGGCTCAAACCTGCCTCATACAACGTAGAGTGAAAAGGATTTCTTTCATTTGTTTCAAATACCAAGCTAGTCACATTTCAGAAACTATGAAAAAGAAGAAAAACACATATGGGAAGTCCAGAAGAAGAATTTGAAGGATGCCAAGACCTAAAAAAGGGATTTTGCTTTAGAGTTTAATATTGGAACTGTAAACAGTCACTGCTGCCCTTTGTGTACACACACAGTCAGCTTTGCCTGCCCTTACCAACAAAACCACATGCCTAACCATCTCGATGACAGCTGACCACAGAACAAATACTCCATTTGAGAGAGACTTTTGAGATGTTTAGATTTTTGGTTTTGTTTCAATGCAAAATAAAAACAACCTTTTGGACATTTTTGCAAAACCAGCATCATGTTGAGATAGCCGTTCTCAAGGAAGTAAGGCACTATCTCCATTAGGAAGGCTTTGCTAGTAGAACTTAACCAGCAAGTTTTGCTATCATGGCTTCATCTCACCCTGCAAATAAGGCTTATGGCGGTTCCCTAAATGGGTGATCGCTCTCTCAGCGACACTGCACCGTTGCTGATACGACAGCATTTATACTATGATTTTTGCTGGCTCAGCTATATTGGCAGGGGAGAAGACTAACACCCGCAGCTCTCATCCTTACTGATGCAGATAAGCTGACAATAATTTGCAAGTGAATGACCAGCCCAGTAACTATGGCAGTGACTGTGAACATGGGAGAATCAAGTTCAAATCCCTGTTCTGTCTGATCTAAAGTTTTGGGTTTTTTTTATTCCAGATCAGACTCACTCAAGTAGGACATGGGAATCTCACCATTAGCTTTTCCTGTATATTTAAGGTCAGTGGCCTAACCACCATATTCCTGATAATTATTATCTTTCTTATTTTAACTAAGTTTTCACTGAAATCAAAACATTTTGGCTTCAATGAATCTGCATGTTTTGGTAAGATTTAATTTAGCTGAAAAGTGATCCAACCAGCTCTAATCTTAATGCTAAAATGAAGACAAACAATGCAGACACACACAGCTCCTATGCATGGTTATCGTTATCACTTTGCAACATCTCACATGCATGAGTGTAAGCCACATATTGGAACTGCTTTATGAAGAGCACCAAAAATCTTTTAAAAAGGGTCCGCGTTAAGAACTGTTAGTCAGACAAATACAAAACAAGGGCCTCATTCTTTTATAGGTTATAATTACACTGCTGTTTTCAAGCAGAGGGAGCTATTGTACAGGAAGAAGAGCAATGTAAACGACCCAGTGACAGGGTTAAGTCAGTAAAGCAAGCTGTGCTGCAGAAAAGCTGAATGTTTCTCACCGGTAACTGAATCACAAGGCGATTGCCATCAGGAATGCAATAAAAACCACTTTTGAAAATACAGACCTACTGATTTTTAAGGTGTAATCATTAATACATATTTTCTACAAATTAACGAGGGCTGTTGCAGTAGTGGACTGCACCTTGCTTTTCTTATTAAAACAAAAGGAACAATGTTTTTTGGAGATCTCGTCTTACAATTTAACTCTAAACCAAACGCACCCAGAAGAACAACACTTGCTAAAACAAGACTGCAAACAGTGAATTCACATTCACATCCTGTAAAGACATGAATACTACTGGACTGAGTGCTTTTGTTTTGTTTTTAAGAGAAGCCAGTGCTGGCAGCAGGCTGATGAACAGATTTTTACTTTCTACACTAACTGCAAAATTCAAGTTCACTCCCACGGTGCCCTCAAGAGATGTCCTGGTGGTCTTCGGGGGCCACGTCTACATCAACAGACCAGCTATATCCATCTGAGGTTACTAAATAGCACTAGCTGTGACTGCACACCTACCTTAAGGCTCTTGATTCGTTTTACTTGGCTTACATTAAGCTGCCAGATAATAATGATTTTTAGTCACTAGTAGTCAGGACTGGGTTTCAGTCGCTTCTTTGATGTAAAAGGCTCATTTACACGGATGGAATGTACAGACCGGGAAGAAAAAAGCCAACACCAGAAACCCAGGGGTAAGACCATGCTGTAAGGGTACTCTACCGGATTACAGAAGTGATTTGACTTCAACAGTTTAAGAAAGTTTCATCCTTTCCCATGATTGCACATTACGGCAGAGAGGGAGCGTGCACAGGAATTGGTCAATGCACCGCAGCAAGAGGGTGGCAGCTTCCCAGCCCAAACTGGGACCAGCTGCAAGCTGATCAGGCCACAGGACAGCCCAGCAGGCATTTTGACCCAAGCTGGGCATTTTAAAATGGGCACAAACTGGGCTTGATACATTTAAAGAGGAACTCTAACTTCCATGAATAGCACAAAGGAATACTTTATGAACAACGAGGAAAAGATCCCAACGTAATAGCACTGGAAGGTAAAGCTATCAGAAGGCAAAACCTCCTCACTCACAAGCACCAAGACAAACTTTTTTTTTAAAAGGATACATATCAAAAAAATCAGCCCTTATAAATGATCAAAGTTGACCATTGCAACGCATTCCCAGCAGCCTAGGATGCTGGCCTCTCAGTAACCCTTTAAGGAACTAGTTATGTTGTAGCTATCTTCTTTTCCTTTGTGCTCGAGCCAGCCACAGAGTATATGAACTTGTTTAAAATAGTCACAATTTATTCACACTTAGCACACCATATATTTAAGTGCATTGAACCGTGAGTTTTCCCTTCCCCCCTACCACTCCTCATCAAAATCCACAAATGTTTCCTGGAGTCCAGGTGTCAAATTTTTCTTCTTATTTTCAGAGCCTCATTTGTTCTGGATTCGTTTAGCAGCACACGGAGTCAGGCAGGGGCCACTGCAGTTGCTACCTCTGGGACCCCTGGATCCTGAGCGGCATGAAGGCTCTTAAAAACCTGAGCTCTGCTAAAATATTAAGAGTCCTCTGAGCACCACATTAACAGAGTCCCGTGTGCTGTGCTGCTGGAGCATGTAACTTTATTGTGGCTTAAGTGAGGGCTTCGAACAGTTACGTTTGCCACAGGCACCAAAGATTTACACTCAGCCATCAGGCTTCCCTAGGAAACAAATCTGGAAATACAACTGATACGGATTACCCATGTCACGCATCCTGGAAAATTAAAATCATAACCATCGACTGACACCTTCACTATCATTATCAAACTTTGAGATTTCTGCGGTAGCCAATAGAGGGCACTACAGACCAGTAACAGCTCCCAGTGTACCAGCAGTGTTTGTGGCTCACCCCAGTCCATCCCAGTCCGCCCAGCAGCCCGAAAGGAGCAGGGCACTTGCTCTGCACAGGGGATGAGGCGCCACCCCTCACATACTGCAGACTGTACGGACAACTCCATCGGACGTGAGCAGCTACTACATTTTCTAGGGAGTTGTTTTTGTTTTTCTTTTCTAAAGGCTTGTACGAAAATGTAAGACAAAGCTGCGGGTGACTGACGTTTACTGTACAAAGCCGCTCTCACTTAGTTTCAGGCTATATTAGTTTTGGCATCACTTAAGATCCAAACTCAGCGAGCCCGACTTCCTAGAATATTTTAGCTCTCTTCAAGCAACAAACTG